GTCGTCTTCTTGAGTTGACGTATACAGGTATAACGTGTGCATTTGTATATGTATATGTTTTTATATTGCTAACCTATGCATTAAATGTCGATGCTATATGTTTGGACGCATAGAACATTTGTTGGATGTACTTTTATTGTTTATGCAATAGAATATCCACTGGAAGTTTCTCTACCAACTTCACCCAGACCGGATCGAATGATACGTTGACCTTGTCCCTTAGTTGACCGGTCATCAGGTGAAATGTAGCCAGCTGACAGAAGAGATAAAAAAGGTGCTGCCTTGCAACCTACTGTTTACAACGTAAACACCATTTTCTTGCCAAGCGTTTCCTTCTTTGTGTCAATCCAAGAAAGGGAACATTCTTAAGACCATCCAGGATGAAATATAGAAATAGAATTGATTATTGCAAGTTCTTGCCCGAGGGCTAATTGCAAACATTGACAAGAGAAATGTGGTGATACATGTATAAAACTATATGCTAATATGGAGTTCTACTGTGAACGAAATACTTATCAAACCTACTATCTCTACATAAATCGAAGTTGGTATACAGGATCATAAACAGTGAATACGCAATACATAAACAGGTAAGATGAACAAGGTACTAGTAACTGCTATTCTAATCTATTCTATTCCATTAATATTAATACAAAGACCAATTAATATAAAGACCACCTTTGAATCACTGCGGTTGTAACAAAGCAAGATTATTTTAATACGTACATGACAAAATAACAGAGAAATATACAGCCGATTACCAAAAGAATATATTAACTAAGGATAAGAGAATAGCAACAAGTAAACTTAAAATAAAATATATCTATAAAGACCTCCCATTCCACTTAATGTCGCTCTCTCTGCGACCTAAAGTTGGTCGGAGCGCGAAAAGAGCGCCGTAAGAGCGCCGAGGTAGCCATATTTTGTATCAAAATTAATGTTGGGGCCGTTGTGCGCTCTCATGGCGCTATCTTCGCGCTCACACGGCGCTCATCGTTGCACCGGTTTGGGTCATACCATCTCCGCATGAGCGATATTGTCATAGAGAATATTATATAGAATTGTCATAGGGAATATTATAGGTGATTTCCTTATGGTCTCAATAACTACTAGTAGCACATGGATTTAAATTATCAAAACAGGGGCTCAGCTTGCAAGTTCTCGGTTTTTTACAACTGTTTGTCTAGTGTAAAACAGCTTCCAACATGGCTTACGATTTATACATGCTGTATTTATAGCACCTAATGCAGTAGCAGTTACAAACCGTATCAAAATATCAGAGAATATATTGTTCTGCTTCAAACAAAGGTAAATATTAGTACCTAATCTCAAGGTATAGAAGCTACTTGACTCTTGGATAGAAACAGTCTACTTTTATGAGGGAATCATATGATCTAATAGCATGTTGTTATGTTACTGAAAAAATTACCGATAGTATACATTCATTGCAGTAATATCTGAACTCATTACGACTTCTTACTTTTTGGTGCTAAAATACAACGCTTGCTACATTGTTTTCTGGCTTCAAACTACAATCCATCCATAACTCTTGCCCTTGACTTGTTCAATAGTCTAATAAAGCCCATCTTACTTTATTGTACAGAAATACTGGGGGCAAACATTCAATGTAGGGATTTGATTCTCAATGGTATACAGGAATATTCTGGTGAAAACACAAGAGAAGCAATATATAACATACTTTCGCCGATATTAGGTGCAAACGTACAGCTCTTAAAGGTTACACGAATAGGGAAGAAATGTGATTTGCCATCGGCTCGTCCTGTTCTGGTTCGTTTTAAGAAATACAGTGACAAATTAAATCTTACATACCAGTCTAAACAGCTAGCTATTCAAAACATTGGAGCTTTTCCACTTTATATTGACTCGCAATCACACCTCATTAAATATTGGCTCAGACTACACAACCTGCCCAATGACAGAATAGTCACAAAGGCTTATGATATTGCATTGGAACAAGAACAGGACTGGGTCGTTCATGTAGAAGATATTTTATGTAGACACGGTTTTCAAAATGTTTGGCTAAACCCAACAGTTGACGCCAAGCATTTTGGAAACGTGTTCAAACAACGTCTGAAAGACACGTTTGTTTCTGGCTGGAGGCAAGAAATAAGAAATTACAATAAACTGCAAACCTATTCTAAATTCAAAACGGACTTCACTTTTGAGAAGTACCTTTCATCAATCCAAAACAAATCATTTGTTGCTAACCAAACTGCGAATCAGTGCACATTGTTTAGAAATAGAAAAAGGTCGTTATAAGAATGTACCAGCCACTCAGAGACGCTGTCCTACATGTAAACATACTGTTGAAGATGAATGTCACTTTTTATTATCTTGTCCCATGTATACTGAAGAAAGGTTGACACTTATGAATATGATTTCACGTAACTCAAACATTACCTTACCTAAGACAAGCTCAGATACTTTTAATTTACTGATGTCATGTCCTGAACCAATATCCTTGTATATAGGCCAATTCATATCCTCTGCTCTTCAGAAAAGAAACAATATCATCTGTGACACCTTGAACTGATGTTAACATTGTATCCATGTTCCATATATATTGTATAATTCATCACTCACAATTATAGGGTAGCGTTAGAATAAGGTATCTAGAAGTAGATTTTAGTATTGTTGTTATCTTTTGATTTAAACACTTGCCATACATTGTATCCATTGCAATTCTTGCGCAATAAAGATTGATTTGATTTATTTGTTAACTTCCTTGCATGTTTTCAAATTGTCTATTTCTAAATTGCATCCAATATACTAGTACATGTATATTGTTTTTCTATATTCTTATTTTTGTGGTCTCTTTTGGATAATATTAGGATGTCATAGTAAGGCCACACCGACTTAATTTTATGGATGACATCCTCTGAAGACCCCCAAACTAGTGCGTGCGGGCGAAAAAAAGAAAAAAACGGCCAAAAATAAAAATGCTACTAAACCACAGGAATACAAAGCTGGTATTGTGAATTTGGCGCATTACATAGCGACGTATACGACAGGCCGACACATACTGGATTTTTGCGGAATTTATGAATCGACACTGTACGTATGTACTGAGTTCTTGAGTCTTGGAGCTTCGGTAGCCTGACTGCCATCCACCAGAGTTATCACCACCATGGACTACCCAGGCTTGAGGCCAGTCCAGAGCCTCGGAAGACGTGATGTTTTTTTTTTTTTTTTGAGATCATGCGAAAATCAATGCGCGCGCGGATGTCATCCATAAAATCAAATCGGTGTGGCCTAATATTGCATCTAATACATGTACTAGAATATTGTTGTTATATTTTCTTGTTTTTGGTTTTCTCTTTGATGTTTTTGGTTTTCTCTTTTTCGTGGCCTCGAGTGGCGTACGTGTAGATCATTTGACTGTGAACCGGGAGACCCGGGTTCGATTCCGAGTCATACCGGGGACATGTCTGAACATGCACCCCGACGTCGTGCCCTTGGAAAAGGCGCTTTACACGACTTTCCTCACTCCACCCAGGTGTGAATGGGTACCTAACTTCGGTTGGGGAAAGCCGTATTGAGGTCACCTTGTGGCGCCGAATAGCAGTCGCACAGACCCTTGTGGCAGTTCAACAAAAATGTGGAACAAATATTATGTGTATTATTACCATTTGTATCATCTGATTGTAAACTCTGCATCAATTCAGCACTATAAGGCTGCGATTGCATGGGCGATGTTTGGCCAATAAACCATGGCCAATGTGGGATATCCTGGCCATGGTAATACGATAACGTAAAATTAAACTTGCAGGTGTCTACAGTGACTTGTTTTTTTTTAGTTTTTTTTCAAAATACAAAACATTTAACGTCTCTTTTAATGTCTAATCTATGTAATATGCTTTGAATAGACACGATGACTAGATATATTTTTCTACAAGTTTAATGCCAACATAAACTTATACAGGTGATAAGGATGCACGAGCATGCAACAATACTGGCTGTAACAGCATTACTTTATGAGCGTATAGACATAAGTTAGCCATTTCGTCTTTCATAAGTCCGGGTGATAAAAATTAGTCTCGTATTAAACAATGTACACGTATACTTCCATCTTTGTCAATAGCTATGTACAATTTAATCAGAAGGCATATATATAATATCATTTTTGGTAGTTCCTCAAATCCTTAGCTTAGGTGCTTTAAGGTAAAACAAATCCTACAATATATGACTATGTGTTCAATCCAAAGATAATACATATAGTATTTTAGGAAAACGGTAAAACACTAAGTTACACGAATTCACGCAATTGTTTCTAATCAACAATACAGGCCTTGCATTGCGAGAAGTATATATTCTTTCTGTGTTACATGCATATCGCTGAAATAAATTACCTTACAGTTTGTCGATTTTCTGGACTTCCCTCTTAATGTCATTTTTATCGGCATTGCATGTACCGTCTACGCCTTTTCCATGTGATTAAAAAGAAAATATTTTCAATTGTGGCTACAGATATTTTGTCATAACTGACCAAACCTTTGTACAGGCGCAGCATGTTATACTGCTGCGTGATTCTCTAAAAGCTATTTATGTGTACTCGGTATGCATTCTACCGTTTCCGCCCAGATTTGTTAACGATTGAATTCCAAAAATTTTTCGGCATTCGTGCTCGTGCTGCTAGGGGAGTGGGCGCAATCTTTAATGGGCTGTGGAATAAACCATTCGGGGGTTCGGAAGAACCCCCCCCCCACACAAGGCTCAAATGTCTACTTTTTGGTCCACCAATCCAAGATTTTTATTTAAAAGATGGACTGAATCGTAGAAAAACTGATCACTTTTTTATTGAATAAAAAGTTATCTCTTATTTTTTTTCTTTGAAATACTCTCAAAAACGCAGGAAGTGCCATTTCAGAGTGTTCATTTTTCAAAATTTTCCGGGGGAGCATGACCCCGACCCCCCCTAGGAACCTCGCGCCTTTGGCGCTCGTTGGTCCCTCAAGCAGTGGGAAGAACCCCCCCCCCCTTCAAAATCCTGGCTACTGGCATGCTTTAGAATATGGTGTTGTCATGCTGATTTGCGTCTTCTCTTATTTGTAATTCATCGTTTTGAAACGACTTGTTTACGTATTCGCTGATGGCCGCATTATGCGAAGGGACCGATTGGAGAGCACGGTTGGCAGCGAGTGCTTCTGGCCCGGTCAATTCGGTAGGTGCTGCGTATGGCGAGTCGTCAACCTTTGACGTGCTTCCATGCTTTTCGAATCGGATTCCGAGCGACTTTTTTGGACCAAGGAAGGTCAAGACTACGGGTAGTACGACAATACCATGCATAGCACCAAAGAGCATGACCAGAAGCATCGTCTTGAAAAAGGTTCGGAAGATGTAGCTGGTGGAGAAGGCGAGAGCAAGAATACCAAGGATAGTAGAAACGGCGCTTTGTACGATCGGCATGCCGATGGAGTAGAGAGCAAATACCGAGCGCTCATTTCTCGTCTCCCCCTGCCCAGTCACAAAGGCGTACGTTATGTGGGCCGAAAAATCGACGGAGAAGCCGATACACATGATGATGTTAATCATAGAAACACTGTCTAAGTTAACACCCCACAGAGTCATGAAGCCGATAACGCCTGCGTCGATGGAAGCTATGGTAAGTACGATCCACAAGGAGCACACAGGGTGGGGAACCAGGAGGAGGGACACCACTAACATACAGGCGGTCGCTATGCCGATATTCTGTAAGGTGTTCGGAAGAACCGCTGTGTACTGATCGTAAAATATGAACGCTGGATGAAACACTGTCATTTGGAATGGGGCTTCTGCAGCCAGACGCCTCATATCGAGCATCATGTCTCTTTCACGATTTGCCGTGTTGGTGTTTTTGGACTGAACAAAGAAGCGGGATGACAGTATTTTGGTTTTGTTTTCGTCAAACTCTATATCAAGTTGATAGCGATCAAACCATCCTCTTTTCAGAAACTGGTCTTTTAGAATTCTGATGAACCTCTCATTGTTTGGATTAGCTGGGAGGAAAGGATGTTCTTGAAGATACGTTTTGTACACTGTCAGCCACGACTCAGTCCCGTTTGAACCATAGGAATACTCGCTGTTTTCAAATTTCTCTAGAGTGTCGGAAATTTGCTGTTGGACTGTGAGGTTCGAATAGTCTACCTCTTCTGTCAGAGAGACCATTATCTGTGGGCCATAGACCTTGAAATATTCATCCTCTAAGTCGTAGAATTTGACAATGTAAGAATTGTCGTCTGCTAGCGACTGAAGGCGCAGTCCTTCGCGCAGTTGTGTACAGCCCCAGATAGAAACGGCAAGGTACCCAAGGAACAGTACGATAACGACTACTTTGACAAAAATATTTGTCAAAAATGGTCCGAAGTACTTCTTAAAGAAACGCATGAAAAAGTGATCCCTTTCTGGTCCCTGGTCTACCCCACCCTGGTCTAAGTCTTCGCCAGATACCCCACCCGCGCAAAACAGCCTGAAACAACCAGATCTGTGCACCGCATCTTTCTTCGTCGGGGCGCGCAAGCAGGTAGCCCAATGGAGATTTTTCTTTTCACGGTAACCAAAAATTGCCATGCACGCAGCAAAAAAGGTTATCTGGTAGATATAGTCAAAAACTAAAGCTACACCGGTAAATATGCAGAATATCTGCACAGAGGGGAAAACAGTTATAGCACCGATGCCGAACGCTAGCCCGTCAGTGATGCTGGTGATGGTTATGGACATGGCGGCTTCGCCCAGTGCCTCTGACATCCGTCTCTCCACGGAATGGTGTGGGTTGGTCTTTCGCCATGCAGCGACCATGATGAACATGTCGTCGATGCCAATCCCTGTGGGTAAGATAAGGGAAGGAAAATAAACAACACGTTTTGTGGTGTGCTATACACAGCATATATAGTACATGCATTTGAAGAAAATGACATAAAGACAAGCTTTGAGCCTCCCCGAAAATATAGTCATTTCTACATGTTGATATATCCTCAAATATATGTTAACTAGTTTTATATTCAAAAGATCAACCATTTCATCTTAAACGAGTTCAATGTTCACCAATATCCGAATTTGTTTAAAAATTAGAGACATATTTTTAAGTTATGAAATTATTCCTGAAACTAGAAAACACACCGTCAGGCATCATATTTCTTTTTCCGTCGTGTCTCATAGCAATAGAAATAGGGAAATGAAATTTACTGTTGAATGCCTTTTTTGTGCTTCTCTTTAGGCGGTCTAAGAGTTTTTGTCTTAATCCTCTAATTTATTTTCATCGCTTTCACCCTAGTCCGACTGCGCGTGGCCCGTTTGGACCATAGATGTACATATCAAATTTTGTATATGCCATTTTTGATCGAAAATAACTACTATGAGGTCTCCAAATATCTTTTTATCGTTCTATAATAGCATTGGCTCAAAGGTGAATAAGATTTATTGGAATATATTGTAAGGAAGAGAGATACAACGAAAAAGGCTAGATAATATTAATGATACTAGCATTTGTGGTGCAGAGTATCACGTCACTGAAAAAGCTATATCTCCAAAAAAAGTTGATAAGGTCTCTTTTGAGACAAATTCGTCGCAAAGGTGATTCAGTCGGATGAGGGTTTAGATGTAAAATGCAGCTGTTACCTTTGAAGGGCTTGCACATGTTTTTAATTGAAACATTTTGCATGCTTCTCCCCAGTAAAACGATGGCTAGTCAAAGCATATTGTCGCGATACATATCACACATGAAGCCATATGAGTTTTTGTGCAAAGCTGTGCTTACCAAGGCATAGAAATGGCATGGACGCTACGATACTGATGAATTTGACGCCACAGAAGAGGACGAGGCCCATGGAGGAGACGATGGCGAGTCCAGCCGACACCACGCCGAGCATACCGAGCCAGGGCTTCGCGCGCACGGCGTCTGTGTCCGCGCAGGAACACACCGCAAACGTGATGATGACACTGAAAGTGATGCTGAAGAGGGGGATGATTCCGTTTGTTACTGAGTTCAGTTCGTTCTCTCGGCTGTTTGACGTGTACATGGCCACGTCTATGTCCGTGGATGTGAACATAGGCAGTTCTGTGAGGAAGGCTTCCTCCCACATAGCGCTAATGGCGTCGTTCACTTGTTCACCGTCGTCCCAGCGGACATAGTAGTGAAGTTGTAGGGCTTCGGCAGAATCGACTGTGTCTTCTGTATCTTCAGCAAAGGTAACGCCGCCGAGCTGTGTGCCGAGAAAAAGTGGAGCTCCCACTGGACTGAAGGAAGTCGGATAGCGAATGGTGGTGGTTTGAACTAGGCTGGCATTGTAGTTGACAAGTTCAAGGAGATCGTTGCTGTCACATACCCCTTCCCAGGCAGCACACAGGTCTTTGTAACGGTAAGTCTGTCCTTCGTGGATGACAGAAACATTGTTGAGCACGAACTCGTGTAGTCGTAGGACCTCCTCCATCATTCTTTGCTGGAGAATGTTGCTTTTGTCTTTCGCAGTCAAGATAACTCGACCGAATCTTCCGAAAACGTCAAGCCTGCTTTGCTGAAAGTTGCTCGAAACGTTGGTGGGGAAACGGTCCTGTATCACCGACCGCTCAGTCTTGGCTTGTCCGTTGGTCGGTGTGAACAGGTACTCTACGCCTGATTCTTGTTGGGTGGGAAGCAAGTACATGCCTGATGCCAACCCTCCCGCAACCAGAATCGGGATTATGAGGAACGGTAGCGGATAACGAGCCACTAAGCTACCGTGAAGTTCAAAGAGTCGGCGAAGCCGGCGCTCAATACAGTCATACGCCATATTGCGTGTTTCTGAAGGTCTGAATTTCACCGTATGAAGGTCAGAACGTCCCCCCTTATATTTTCAAAAGGAACTTGGCAACGAGCCCTTACAAAGGATCTCCATTTAGTGGCCTGCGTACATTGTGGGCCGAAAATTGATTATTGCCATGTTTGCAGTCGCGGGCATTATACGAGTCAATGCAAACCAAACGGTGATAGTCACCATGCCAACATCTGCGTGCGGTACGTACCGGTGTGGGAGAAATATACTTATTAACTATTTAATGAGGTGGTAAGAGAGACGGGTTCCAAGCAAACTGGTGTAGAAGCAGAACCAGTAGATGATTGTGATAGCAGGTACAAAATGCCCTATAGTTCCCCCATCTCCTAGGCCGCATCCCAGTAGGACGACACTCTTAACGACCTGAAATTGGCCAAAGCGCGGAGAGTTCGCCTAGAGATCACCGAGGTCGCCATGGGAGCACGCTGTGAGCGCCGTCACCTGCGATCAAACAATGAGCGCTGAGAGAGCGTCGTAAGAGCGCACAGCTAGCGCCATGAGACCTAAAACTGGCCAGAGCGCGGAGAGAGCGCCGAACGTGCTCAAGTGGAATCTCTACGGCGACCTCTCTGCGTTCTCTACGCGACCAAAAACTCAAATGTCAGCAACGTTTATGGGCGAAGAACGAATTCATAGCTCACTCAACAAATTACGGAAATAGAAAACGAAATTTTGTACGTTTTCTCTTTTTTAAAGTCTAGTACATTCTGCATCATATTTAGAATATGAAATCAAGGGTGTAAGGCCCCCAATTAACTAGGGCGCTCTCACTGCGCTCTCTCCGCGCTCTCTCTGCGACCTGAATTTGGTCGGAGCGCGAAAAGAGCGCCGTGAGAGCGCCGAGGTCGCCATATTTTGTATCAAAATTAATGTTGGGGCCGTTGCGCGGCCTCGTGGCGCTATCTTCGCGCTCACACGGCGCTCATCTTTGCATCGCGAGAGGATCATAAATAGCTCTATAGCCTAATGAAGACTACCCAGGTGAACTACAAATTTTAATGTAGACATATAACCCCTACCCATGCATATAGGGAACTAGCGGGTACGTATATATAGCAAAGGGCCTTTTGTAAAGAGTCGACCTTCCTATAGCATTCATAAGTTATATGCTAGCACAATGCGCTGTTCCAAAAAAAAAAAAAATTTTCTCACCCCAGTTTTAAATTCAGCAATAATCTTTATGAAAACCTACACAAGTTCCAGTCCAGATCTAGAGTTAACCATGGCCAGAACCTTCCCGGTCCAATCGAGAATGGCACAAACACTAACTTAGTTCTGGCATATAAGACCCCTTCTGACACATCTTCATTCATCCTACGTGAATTTTACCATGGGATTAAGAAATATAGTACAGCCAGGAATCTATGTTTGTTTCGGTTGAAGATTACGTTCTACAGATGGCCTGTTGTCCTTGGCCATGTGTAGTTAATGGTATTTGTTTGTGGGCGAAGGGAAACAAGAAAAGGCTAGAGAAAATCATTGCCAAGAATTGTATGCCGATCTTATAAATTCAGCAATAGACAAATATCACTTTTCTGGCCCGTCTACGGTCGCCATGTTATCTTCTGAAGTGTGATTCACACATTCCAAGAACCTGAGGAAGTCAAGAACATGTCGCGGATATTCGGAACTGAAGTTCGGTCGCTCGGAAATGGCGACGACCGTTCAGAAAAGCGACGACCGCTCCGAAAGGCGACGACCGTTCTGAGAAAAGGCGACGACCGTTCGGAAAGGCGACGACCGTTTACGAGACGGACATTTGCGTCGACTTCGTTTGGCTTTAACACGAAGAAACAGTTGCAACATCGATCTGTGTGTTGTGTCAGCGAGCGGGGTGTGGAAGAAAGCGAATGAAAGTGTGGAGTAATTTATGTCATAGATACCCCTTGTGTGATTCAGTTTGTTGTAGTGTCGCATGGGAAGAGGGAAAGAGGGCACAGGATCACACTTATCAGGCCGATGCTGCCTAGACTGTAGAGGCGGACTGAATGTACGAAGGCCCGCAGCGCGTCACCTTTCCAAAGCTTGGAGACAGAGCACTGAGAATGACTAAGCTAAGGCTAGGGTTTTAGAGGTGTCGCGCATTGTCGTTGTGGGCTTTTGTGTGGATGAGCCTTGCTGTAAACTGTAGACAGGACGTTAGTTTAGTCGGGTGGCCATATTCGAGAATGTGTGACTGTGGCTTGAGGGGGGCGCACAACCTTCCATCCCCCAGTTCCTCACACTGGCCGACTAAGGTGTACGGGTGGCAACTTAAGGAATGTCCCCAAAACGTAATTCATACAGCTAGTATGTCTCAGCGGTTAACCTGCGAGCTGAGGCAGGGATAGATTCTGTGCGCAAACGGACAGAAATCACAACCCTTGTCAATGTCTTTAAGGCAATTCGTGGTAGTGCGCCGGTGTACATGGCATCTCTGTTCAAGTGGGAGACTCCTCCAACATTAAGCGTACGGACTACTCGCTCAGAGTTAAAGCGTCTTAGGGACTACGACCCTCACCTACTCTTCTGTCCACCAGTAAGAGTCACGGCATACCGGAGCAGTCTGCAGTACTATGGTCCTTACCTGTGGAACACTCTTCCGCTACAGCAACGACAGCTCCTTAGTCTCAGGACTTTTAAACAGAACATTAGAAGCAGGACTTCTCAGGACTTTTAATACAGATAATTAGGAGCAGGACTTCTTAGGACTTTTATACAGAGCATTAGGTGCAGGATTTGACACTCTTGATGTTTAGGATGTTGTAATTTAGTAATAGTTTATGTAATGTATATTTGTTGTGTGTATTTTTATATGTATCCAGGATTACCTGAAAAGCAGGCCAAATTGGCCTGAGTTGTAATTACTGGTTAAATAAATAAATTGAAATTGAAATAGTACATGTCTAGAGATCGGCTACTGAATATCTGATCAACAAGCCGCTAAATGACAGTTTGTGAAAACCGCTTTTTCTTATTTCAACATGCAATCACAAGACGTGCTGACGGCTCACTCATGCAAGTTCTTCAACTGATGTTTTGCCCCCCCCCCCCACCACCAACAAAGAGGACAATAGAGCGAAGTGAGGAAAGTCGTTAAAATTCCTTTCCCAAGGGCACAAGATCAGTGACATGGCAGGGTTCAAATCCGGGACCTCTTGGTTCCGAGTCGAAGATACGACCCCACGGTATGAAAACCGTCTGTATGGTAGTGGCGCTTCAATAATGTGGTTGTAATAAATAAGCAACATTAGTTAAAGGATACACAAAAGACTACTTTTCGTATGTTCTAAGTCATTGTCCCAAACATCAAAGTCTGGGAAGATCAAAGTGATTGATTATGTTGTGCGTCGTATGAGCCAAGTAACCGATTGGACAAGGGATAATTGATTTGATTACTGTTGTGCCAGGTAGATAGCAATCGTTTCCTTGTCGTTTGGCTGAATTGGCAATATGCAAATTATCCCCGGTCCTTAAAAGTATAAAAAGGGAGAGTCAACGAAACGACTTCGCGACGGAGGGACGCGATGACGACATGCGCGTTTACGTACTTGTAAGGTAAAATTCCACGTTTATTACAGATTGTAGATTTTACCTCTATGAAAAATTAATTATAATGTCTTAATATGATGGTAACGCCCAAAAAGTTGATTAAAAAGTGTCAAATTATACGGGCTCGATTCCTTGAATTTTAGGTTTGACGTCGTGTTCTTGAGAAAGGTAGTTTATACAACTTTTCTTACTGCACCCAGACCCAGATGTAAAATGGGTACCTGGCTTCTAGTTGGGATGTAAAAGGCGGTGGAAGGAGAGGGATGGGCTCCGGCTTCTAATACCATGCCTTTAGTCAGAGTGGATTAACAACCCACTGCCCCTACGGCTTCAAAAACGCCTACCTTTTTACCTTTGAGAAAACAGTCTAAGTGATTTTTTTAAGACGACCTAACTAAAACATGTTCTTATCATACAAGTTTGACGCGGCGATGATGGACGAAGAGGTGGCGATCATCGGCCTGTGGTGCCGCTTCCCGTCTGCGGAGGGGCCGGACGAGTTCTGGCGGGTGCTGGAGAACGGAGAGGACTGCATGCGGGAGATCCCAGCAGAGCGCTGGAACCAGGAGGCCTGGTACAGCCCAGATAGAAAAACCCCGGGCAAGTCGTACGTGGAACGAGCCGGCTTCGTAGATAAGTGAGTAAACGAAATGTTTCTTCAGCTGTACTTAAAGTGAATGTGTCAGGATGTGATACGCCCAATTTTCATGTAAGGTTCCACTGGACATGTTTTGGCTCATTGAAGGGCTAAATTTTCTATGCTGTATATATAATCATTTTATTGTTCAGATACATATCATTGTCGCATGCACTTACCGTGATATATCACAGTAACAAGTTGAAAAGTTAGAAAATTTACCAAATACAACATTGATCACACGATATGAGTAATGACAATGTGAAATACGTGGCTCGCGTTCTGGCCACACCGTCTTAATTTTCTGGATGACATCCTCTGAAGACCCCCAAATTAGTGCGCGCGGGCGAATAAGAAAAATTCCGGTCAAAAATAATGATGCAACTAAATCACATGAATACAAATTGGTATTGTGAATTTTCGGCAGTACTTAGCAACGTATAGGACAAGCCGGCACATGCTGGCTTTTTGCGGAATTTATGAATCTGCGCTGTATGTACAATATGTACTGAGTTCTTGATTCGTGGAGCTTCCGTAGCTTGGGTGCCCGGCTCCGTATTGTCGCTAACTACCATGGACTGCCCAGGCCTATAGCTAGAGACAGGCCAGAGCCTCGCTGGGCGTGATCATTTTTTTTAGAACAAGCGAAAATCGATGCGCGCGCGGATGTCATCCATGAAATTAAGTCAGTGTGGCCTAAATATTTTGGGTTTGACCTCTTCTTTGAACATTACAAGACAAAGCAGCTTACATTTTTTATAATGTGTTCGTTTGAATTTTAAGCTTTGTGATTGCTCTTGAAACGACGCGGAATTTGGGACATATCAAACAGTCTGTAGTAGCTACGGTTTCTGTCTTTGTTCTTGCTTGCCCAATTTGTGAAGGTTGGGGGCTGTTGGAAGTTTCATCTTCTGGAAGTAGTCATGATCTTTGTCGGGAAACTAGTTAGGAGAGATTCGTCTATTCAGCTGATGGTCTAGAGTGAGCTGAAAACGGGGCGCGTGCAGTGGAAAATCGCATGTATCTGAAGTTTGGAGCAACCATCCAACTTCAAACTTCAAATTTTGAAATAACTTGCATGTCATGCCACTGATTACAAATAATTACTGATTACAAATAATTACTATTTCTTCATAATTTTGCATAAAATTTGCATAATTTACCATCATTGATAACAATGTTAGATCATTGTGACTGGATAAAATCGGCCTTCCGCTCAGAATCGTAAAAAGCTTTCAGCGAATGTGGAGAGAGATGCACTTTACAGGCATCGATTTCCTATAAAAGAAGAATAACGCTTATATTTGAAACTCTATTTACGATATATACTGTAGTATATTTTTGTAGCTATGACTTCACCCACAAATAGATTCACCCAGAGATATATGTAGATAGAATAGATATACTGAAAACCGATTCATATACACCGAATTCTTAAGCATTGCTTGCTCTCGATTTTATCTTTGTAACCTGACGGGATGGATTTTGTTTTAGGTTTAAGTTTAAGCTTAATTCTGGTAAATCCCCTTCCTTAAAGCTTATGCCTTCAACCCACAACAAGCTTCATGATTGTGAATTGTCTCTACTTGCTTGCAATGTATTTATCTCAAACTTTTGTGTTTGCAATTAGCCCTAGGGCATGAGTTTGCAATAAAATATCATTGCTTGTAAATATCACCAGCGCTTGCTAATACCTTATGCGGATAGCCATTTTTGACGTTATCGGAAACACGTTTAAAAAAACAGGTCAAAAACATTTTTGTTTTATTTTGCTGATTCATGCAAGAGTCACCCACTGCTGGAATATGTCAAGCAACAGAGGGGCGTGAATCTTTCCTCTACTGTTTTTTAAGGAACATTACTATACAATGTAGAACAGTGGCCGAGGAATTTCCAGTGGCTGGTGATTTGCCCCACCCCTACCTCGTCCCCTCAGCGATTTCATCCCTCTCGAAATCAGGTATTTCCTTTAAATCTTCAGTTTCAGCATGTTACGACTACACGAATTTGATATATAATTCTACCAATAGTATTCCATCTTATTTGTTCGGGAGGGGAATTATCATGTTTAATTTATTCAAAACGAAGGAAAAGGGTTTGGTTGAAGTATTCCTTGTTGCTATGCCTCACAGGACAGACGATTCGCGATTAATTTGACTCTGGGTTTTGGTCCGATAGTTAAGCAGACAGAGTGTTTGCTCTCTATCATGTACTAGACTTTTACTTTGACATTGTGCATTCAATTAGACTTCAGTCATACATTGTAGTAGATAGTAGATCCATTCAGCCAGGTAGGAAGATTTATCCCGTTGAGGCTGCTCTTCACTTTACCGGATCGTCATTTCCGGCCTGTGTGGACAATCCAAGGCCGTGTGGTTGTACATAACTGGATGGTATTCCATATGTTTGTCTAGTTTATTTTTGAAAGAGTTCACTGTGGGCGCGGTTACCACTTCATCGGGGAGACTGTTCCACCAAGTGGTCATTCTATTTGTGAAGAATAGTGCCCGTGTGTTCCCCTTGGAGGTCTTTTTTGCTATTCTCATGCTATGGCCTCTTGTTCTTGATGTTGTGTTTTGTTGAAATGGGTTCTGTGTGTCGAACAGGCCGTGCATGTAACTTGTATGTGTTGATAAGGTCACCCCTTAGTCTCCTGTAGACTAATGTTGGAAGTTTTAGAGATCTTAGTCTGTCCTCATAGGTTAGGTTACTTAACCCTGGGACTCGTTTCGTGGCCCTTTTTTTGGACTTTCTCAAGTTCGAGCACCAGGTTCTGTCTGTAATGCGACCAAATAGAGGCTCCATATTCAAGATGTGGCCTAATCAAGGCTTTAAATAACAACAGGAACACTTCTTGATCGATAAACTGAAATGTTCTCCATAGAAGCCCTGTTAGCTGGTTTGCTTTGTTTGCAATTTTGTGTAGATGGTCTTTAAATGCAAGGTCTTTGTCCACTAATATGCCTGAATCCTTTTCCATTGGGATAACACCTAGGGGGATAATCCCAGATTCATTTGTCATTGTATACTCAAAGGCTGGATGTCCCTTTCCAATTCGAAGCACTGTGCACTTTTTTGGATGAAAATTCAGTTGCCATTTTATGGCCCATTCTTGAAGATTTTTTAAGTCATGTTGTAGTTTTTCACAATCCCCCTCAAGCACACTCTAAATACGTGGCAGACATACTGGGAGAAGCTATAGTCGACAAACCCAAAACTTTCTGGTCGTACATAAAATGACTGAGGAAAGACATTGTAGGGGTAGCACCTCTAAAGGTGGGTAATACCATTATCAGTGACAGCGGGAAAAAAGCAGAAGCTCTCAGCTCACAGTTCAAAAGTGTCTTCACAGAGGAAGACACCACAGATACAAAATGTATTCCATCTCTCGATCAGCCCTGTACTCCTCCAATGGAACATATAGAAGTTTCTACTGATGGCGTCGAAAAAATGCTTCAAGGTCTCAATCCGCCTAAAGCATCCGGACCAGACCAAATACCACCTTGGTTCCTAAAAATGACAGCTTGTGAAATCGCACCTGTACTAACCAATATCTTCCAACACTCGTTAAACACTGCAGAAATCCCTAAAGACTGGAGGGATGCAAATATATGCGCCATCTTTAAAAAGGGAGATAGAGCGGTCCCCAGCAACTACAGACCTGTTTCACTGACCTGCATATCCTGCAAACTTCTTGAACATATTATCCATAGCCAAATCATGAAGCACTTAGAAAGCTACAGTATACTAACGGATTACCAGCATGGATTCAGAGCCAAACGATCCACAGAAACACAGCTTATACTAACAGTCCATGACATAGCTGGCGCACTGAACAGTAAACGGCAGGTAGATTTAGCAATACTTGATTTCACTAAAGCTTTTGACAATGTCCCCCATGGCAGGCTCATCTCAAAGCTGGAGTATTATGGAATCCAAGGCCCTACGCTGAAATGGTTAAATGCTTTCCTGACCAACAGGGAGCAAACAGTAGTGGTTGAGGGGAAGGCGTCGGCTCCAGTTAAAGTAGCGTCTGGGGTCCCTCAAGAACTGTCCTGGGACCATTGCTCTTCCTCTTGTATATAAATGACCTACCAGATCAGCTTGACTCAAAGGTGAGGTTATTTGCCGATGACTGTCTGCTGTATGTAGAGCTGTCTACACAGACCGACTCACAACTTCTGCAAAAAGACCTGAACACTCTGGAAGAATGGCAAAGAAAATGGCTCATGCAGTTTAATCCCGAAAAATGCTACATTATGCACATAACGAACAAACGAATACCACACGAAACTAGCTACCAGTTTTGTGGTCAGGCTCTAACTACCACAAAAACCCATCCGTACCTGGGCGTCACATTGACAAGCGGTCTTAAGTGGGGTGCACATGTTAGCAATATCACAACTAAGGCTAAACAGACATTGGGAGTGATCAAACGTAATCTGTGGGCATGCCCAACTAAAGTAAAATCACTTGCATACACGTCACTTGTAAGACCGAACCTAGAATATGCCGCGACAGTATGGGATCCATATACAAAGAAAGACAAAGATAAACTGGAAAGGGTACAGAATCAAGCTGCAAGATTCTGCATGAACAACTATGAAAGAGGTGCTAGTGTCACGGAAATGAAAAGTAACCTACAGTGGGTGTCACTGGAAGACAGAAGAAAAATGTCCAGACTATGCATGATGTGCAAAATGACTAATAAACTGGTGGACGTCCCAATTACTAAGTACCTAATACCAGCCCAGAAGATAACAAGAAATAGCCATGCCTTCAAGTACCAGAGTTATCAACCAAGGATTGAGGCGTTCAAGAATTCATTCTTTCCTAGAACTATCGCAGAGTGGAACTCGCTGTCACCAAGTACAGTAGGGGCATTGTCACTAAATAGCTTTAAACAAAGTCTAGAATTTAGATGTTCAAGGGTTAGGTGTAACAAGTCGATCGGTGTAATGTAGCCAGCTGCCGCCGCGCCGCGTGCCTGCGAAGCTGGT